GCACATTTCACACATTTACAGTCCTCAGGTGTTGGTTTGGATACTGAGGTCCATGCCAAGTGTCCCCTGGGGCACCAGTCCTGCCATGCAGATAGGAAGAAGAAAGTTCCATGGGTGACCCAATTCCCAACAAATGCTGCGTTGTCTCCATGGATTATTTGTCCAGAGAAACCACCTTGTCTCCTGGAAGCCAGTCTGCTTTCCTGTTGCTACAATAAGGCCCAGTTGCTGGTATTTATTGTGCACCATCACGACTCACATCACAATCCCCTGCTGAGGTGGGTAGGTGGGTGTGAGACAAGAGGGTTATAAACAAGAGCTCATTTGAAGTGACTAAACCACAGTGGCTCACTGTCATGCGAGCATCTCTCAGGTTGTATCTTAGCAACTGGCCAGCCAAAACCAGAGGATCAGCACATTTGAAATCATCTCCAAAATTACCTGAAACTCTTTGGTTAATAATTTGTGCTGAACTCCCTAAAAATAGGCACTGCTGCAAGAACTATCCTACTTCATGACAAAAAATAATGTTCTACCCCATGGGCTGGAGAACACAACCCTGTGTTTAAAATCCTGTGTTTTAAGTTCAATCCCTGCCTCATTGTTCAACCAATTTTTGCCAAGGTCCACAAGGACCTTGATGAGCGTGGCTGACACGTACCTGCCATTTGGATCCCAGAGGAATCTGCTTTTCAGACCCCCCTTGCTCCAAGGGTTATCCACAGCACCACTGCCAGCTGGCCCTGCCTGAGCCAGCTCTCATGGACTCACCTGGAGCACTGCAAGTCCCTTCTGTGAGTCGTGTCAATGCCATTTGGGGAACATGCAATGGCTTCTCCACAAGCTCACTCATGAAAATGAAGCTTAGGACCGTTTTAGACAGAATTCTGTGCAGAAAAATACAGCCCTTCACTGACAACAGTAAATCAAATTAGAAATGTTCCTAAAAATTAGCAGTAACATCAGACTAGGCTGAATTTTTTTTCAGTTATCTGTGGGAGACTAAGTTTCTATAAATAAACTGAAGCATGTTTTTGATGAAGGAAGTTCAAAACAAAGCCAAATTGTCAAAATAGCCAAGAGCTGTTCAAAGCAACAAAACTCTTTTAGTCCAAACACAGGAGCATTTTCAGACACACTGAGCTGGACAAAACAAGACTGTGTGGGAATGCACAGAGGGAAAGGCACTGGGTGCTGCTGCAGCAGTGAGCACATGACCACATGCCTTTGGTAGCACTTTGCATTGACAGATTGTTTAGCAGGGGGGAGGTACTACAAATTTTTCCCTTTTCATGAGAAAGAAATGAGATAGGGAGAAGTCAGTACATTTGGTTGGGGCTCTCAGTGGCCTAAGCAAGGGACAAGCTCCAGGCAATTTTCAAGGTTGCCATCCCCTTGACTGTGGTATTTCTCCCTTAAAGTTGGTGGCAGCTGGACCTATTTCACACAAATCTGAACGAGCAATAAATATTTTAAAGTCCATTCATTAGAGACTCCTGATTCAAAATCTACTGAAATAGGACTTTTTTCATGTGTTTCACAAACCTGTTTGTGGTATAGATCATCTGCCACTCAGTGCTGTGGCTATAAAGACAAAATGTTAAAACAAAAACGTATTTACAACCACTGTCTCTGTCAAGACAAACTGCACTGAAGGTTGCCCTTGTTTCAGCAGCTCTTCCACAGTGACTTATCTATCTTGTTCCCAGCACTTGCACAGTTCTGGGTGGAGATTAGGAACCATCCTGGGCTTTGGAAGCACAACTCCCCCAGTCAAACAGCTCAGGCAGGTCCAGTTATCTACCTCTCCTCAGGGCAGCAAAGGGGCCTCTGAGCAGCTCTGGGGGTGGCCAGGGCAGGGCTGGGGAAGAAGGGAAAGGTAAAAGGCAGGTTTTTTCCTATGTAACATGTCTAATATTAGCTGGGCACCTCAGCACTTGGGCCTTGTGGCCTCCAGTGTCAAAAACTCATGCACTGTCTGTTTTCCTGCCACCTCTGATGTGTGCACAGCCCCCCAGGCTGGGGCTCTTCCTGAGTTCAATACAGAGCATCTGCATCAGAAAACAAGACCTCTGCTTAGCCCTGACCCTCCCACACACCAACAGCCCCAAAATCATGGAAGGGCTTTAGAGCTGAGGGCTTGAGGAAACCAGTCCGGGATGTGTCTCCTCTGAAAGGGATGTGGGGGAGAGAAGAGCACAGCTATTTTTCCACTCACTGCAGCTGCAATGCAAGCAATTTCTAAGACCCAAAGTATGCATTTACTGTGTTCACAGGATTCATGAATTTGGATAACAGAAGAATCCCTGTAGAAACACACAGATTATACTCACAAACAATCATTCAGAGATCTTGTTTGCTTTTTGTTAAATCCAAATTTCACTTTAAGGCTGGTGGGGGATCATCATGAGAAAGATGTGTAAAATGATCTGATACAAAGCCTGAGACACAGGTCAAACAATGCAAAGGAAAGAACCCAACAAGCTCCCTGGGCTGTTGCCCCCAGATTCTTAATGGTTGGTTAAAAAAATTATATTCACTGGGTTCATATCTCTGAGTAATCTCCAAGGGAATTTGTACACTCTCATTTTATGTAGAACAAATTTGTCATTGATTGTCCCAAAAATTACATATTACTCAACAATTCAGGAATTCAGCAATCATTCAGTCGAGTATTCATCAGCCTCAGCTGGTATACATTGTGGCAGTATTTAAAATTCATCTGTCTTTATTATACCCTGCTACAAAGGAAACAAGAAATCTAAGTGTATCCATCCAGCAAGCAGTAGCTTGGTCCTACAAAAGGGAGAGATAATTTACTGTAAAATGAACAAAGGGTGAAAAAAGCTGAACAGAGAAGCTGAATTGCATGGACAGGGAGAGAGAGCCTTTCACTTCAGCACTGCTCATTAGCATTATATAGAAAGCAGAGATGCTGGATTTCAACAGCATCTCTTCTGGTCTCATTTTCAACATTCTCATCTTCAGCATGTGTCTTCTGGTTCTCATAATTCAACCAGCAACGTAATTCCTGGTCAAATAGAGCTCTCATATACAAGGACATGTACCAAAGGTTTTGAGGTGCTGTCAGGTAGTTTGTTGGTAAAGCAGTAATTGTACCAATTCCAGGGGGAGACATGCACTCCTTTATTATTGTACTTTCATTCCTACGTGCCTAGCAGGGAATGGTTGCATACACTGCAAAACTGGGAAAATATGATATTGCACATGATACTACTGCACACGATATCACAACAAAAGAAATGTGAAATAACATCAGCAATCAAATCTGCCTTTCAAGTCTTGGTTTTCAGAGGGTTCATCCCATCACAGCAGCATGAAGGAACTGGTTTTCTTCCAGAGACTGTTTTATTTATCTAAATAGTGTCCCATTGTGTACACTGTGTTTGTGAACTCCAGAGAATGATGAGCCCTTAGAGAGATGCATTTATACTACAGCCCTCCATCCCAAGAGGATGAAAGAGCTGTGCAGCTCTGGGTTTCATTACCCTTTGGCCCCTCTGCTCAGGCTGTGGTCATGAGGAACCAGAGAGGGAAAGCTGTTCTGAGGAGACGGTTTTGAGATTAAATGGCTCTATTTTGTCACTGAGAAAGCTGCAGAGAGAAAATTAACTCCTCTTTCTGAAACCCCAGTGGGACCCACTTTTCAGAGGGGAAGCTTGTTTCCAAGTGCTCCAAAAGCAGGCCTGGGAACTGCCACAAGCCAACTGTTCAGTGTGGGCCTGTGGGTCAGGCTCACCCTGTGAGGTGCCTTCAGGCAATCTGCCTTCTTGGGCACAGGGACACGGGCACATGAAACACAGCTGCTCACAGCTGTACAGAGCTCGGGCTCAGACTGTACACTGCAGCTCCTCCAGCCCTGTGCTGGTCACCTCCTCTGCTGGTGACACCTTGGGACTGCTGCAACCCATCCCAAACTGTCCCCGGCACAATGAACCACCCTGCAGAAAGCAAAGGAAATCCTGTTCCCCATCTCCTTTCTGAAACATGCACACAACTAAAATTATGTTGATTCGTTGATACAGTTTATCCTAATTTGTGTCATAACAGGAACAGGATCACAAAAAATCCTCACTTTGTCAGCTGCAGGGAGTGAAGAGACACAGGTCAAAAGGTGTGGCAATCAGAGGGAACAGTGTGGTTTGGGTTCTCACCCAACCATGAGAACCCAAACCTCATTGTGCCTCATTTCTGTGGTACCTTGTAGGTAGATTTGTGCTTCACACATTCATAAATTAGCAAAAATACTTTTTGCCCATGACACCGCAAAAGTTGGGTTTATGCTTATTAATGAAAAGTTTCAAACTACTCAGGGGAGAGAGGACCTGTGAACTAAACACAAACCACCAAACCCACCCAAACCACCAAACAGCAAGCACAGGGACAAGAATAGCTCAAAAGCTCCAATGCCAAAGAGCAATGTTTGGGGACTATCCTGAGCTGAAAAGTGACACTTGCCCACATTCCAGACAGGAACCCAGCTGGGAGCCCTCACCAGGCAAACCTTGCCAAGAGGCACAAACCACAAAAACCTTTGCACCTCCCAGAAAACGAGCGAAACTCATAACCTCTCCTCCGGGCTCGTGTCCTGCTCCTCACGTAGCAGGCAGCCCTGCCTCGCTTACCACTCGCAAGCACGAAAGAGTTAAGACGAACCTGGCACCAACTTTGCGGCGAGCTGAGCTCCCAGCCTCCCTCTCCCTTCCCTCCTCGCCCGCTGCAGCGCCGGAGCTCTGTATCCATCGGCTCCGCTCTGCCCAACGCTGCCGAGGGAGGGCACCGGCTGCTTCCACCCCAGCAGGGAAGCCCCTGCAGCGAAGGCTCCTCGCCCCTTCTGCCATCGCCTGCGAAGGAAGGACAGCAGCAGTGATGCTGCTCTGTGACATCCCGGGAGAGGGATAAGAGCCATCGCTGCCAGCAAGCCGCGTGAGTGCAAGAGCAGAGGAGAGGGAAGTGCACTAGCCTGACTCCAGCTATCAGACAGCTAATCTTTGCTGCACAGTTCCCACTAGCTGGAATGTGGGACGTTCCTAGATAAATCACCAGCAAGCTCCTGGTCTGAATCACGGACTCTCGTGCCTTGTCCCAACACCACTGCCTGCTCTGAAAGGTAACTATGCTTTATTCCCTTCTCTCCCTATGCACTCCCACAGCTCAGACACTCTCATAGCCTTCACTTCAGCATGAGAACAAAAAATACTGCCCACCACTAAAAGAAGAGATACCACTCTATCCCCCCACCACTCTCCTCTCCCTCAGATCCTCCCTGGAAAAAATGCAAACCGTGGATGGAACTGGTACTTTTGATGTTTTGCTTGCATTTCTTCAATGCTGGTATTTTTCTGTAAAGGTGCCCTAGACAGAACACACCTGGTACTGAGTGTTCAAAACTGCTCTGTATTTGCCAGCCAGTTCAGTTCACTTTAAATTAAGGGAAAGGGGAAGCTACACAAGCTGTTGTTCTGTTTTGTCCCACTTACCTGTTTGTAAGAGTCGGAGTATCGTGTGGAAAAGCAAAAGAGAACTCAAAAAAGTTGCCTGCACTTTCAGAGGTGCCGTGCTGGCAAGTGGCACTGACACCCAGCATGGGAGTAGAAGGAAGCGAGTGGGCAAGACAGGACATTTACTGCACTTGCAGGATCAATTTGTACTCTCTGTCTGCATTGTTTTGGGGGAAAATCCTTCTTTCTCTCTGCTCCCCTGTGACCTACAAAGGGTGCAGACTACAGCCATGCAAGCTTCATAAAAACTGCAAACCTGAAGCTACCCACACCCTGAGAGCTGCAGTGAGGGGCTGGTAAATTCAGCACCCATTAAGTTTTGGCTGCTGAAATTCCTGTCTCAGGGACACACTCCAAGAAGAAACCTTTCTGTTCTCGTGTATGAGGCTTCTATTTTCATTGCAGATTTTTATTAAATGAAATATGTTGTGTTTGGGGTTTTTTTAATCTCTAATTAAAAATAACAACAAACTGATAAAAAGAAGTGTCTGCTTGGAATCCATCTGTACCCACTGAGCACCAGTGATCACTAGTGGTGCCTGGCCCCTCTCAGAACTGGAGTATTGTCCAGCCAGAGAATGACTAAATCTTGATGAACAACTGAGATCAGAGGGAATGTGGGCTCTTGTTATGCTGCTCTGCTCTATAACAAACTTCCATTTAGTTCCTCTGCCCATGGACTTGAGGGCTTCTCATGGTAACCAGTGACATTTTGCCTCCCATAATCTGTCATACAGTTATAGTGCTGACCTGCTTCATACACAGTTTTTCAGAATTACTGTGTAGCACTTATTTTTACATCACTTTGGTCTCTACAGTCTTCAAGGCTCTATTCCTTAAAAGGGGTTGTGCAAAACTAAATGTACCGGATATCCAAAGAAATGTGCCAATGGGATAACTGGTAGATTGAAAAGCAAAAATCTTTGGGGTTGTCTGGAGTACTGAATTATTTCTGGCTCATTTCTGGAAAAGATGCAGTTCATGTTACAGTTTTCAACAGTCTGAACAGTTGATTGCTCCTGACAAATCTATAGTTGCAATTAAGAAAAACCCCAAACTGTGCCAACTCCCCATTGCTAATACTTCTTACTATTAATCTGCTCCTTTCATCAATAAATGCCCAGCTGAGCTTTGCTAATTCAACATCTTGGTTTGTAGTAAATTACTAAACTTCAGACTAATGTCCTCAGCATTCTGCAGTCTAATTTTATGAAGCATGTAAAGCCATTAGACTCTCTGCTCCTTAAGGAGAGAAACTAGCTCTGGCTTTTGCTTTCAGTAACAGAGCAGATGGGATGGGCAAAGGCAGTGCTCTGTACTTTAACTCACACAAGTTAAAGTCAGATTGCAGACTGACTGCATTTCATTATCAACAGAGAAATCATATTGTAAGGACAGAGGTTTGAGTCAGCCAGTTACCTTCACACCCTCTATCTCCCACCTGGTGTACAGCATGAGAACATTCTTCATGGGGGAAGAATTTCCATTTGTAGATCTGAAGCGTGAAAATCACAGTTACTGCCCTGTAAGTGAGAGCAAAAGTGCCTGGCTGCCCCCCAGCCTTCACCTTCATGTCCCATGGCTCTGCATCAGCACAAAACCTGCTGCCACAATACCTGGCTCCACAGGGCTTGGGTCAGCTCCTGGAGAAATACTAAGCAACCTTTTCCTCCTGTGCTTGCCCACAGCTCCTACACACAGCCCAGCTCAGGACCCACTACCCACACAGGGGCTGCACAAGTCAAATCCCCAAGCTATTGTTTCAATCAGCAATTTGGCCCAGCTTATTACCAAGGAGGATCTGGTCCAATATTCCCTAAACAGGATCACTGTTATCTCAGATGCTTTGGTACTGAAGAAGGTATTGTGGGAGCTGGAAGTTAAAGTGTAGACAAGCCTCCATGCCCCTTCTCCAAAAACTCAGCTCATCAGATGTTTCCCCATCACATGAGCCAAAGTTGGCCTGTCTTGCTTGTAATAAAAGCCTGCAGATCAGCTCCTTGATGACTCCAGATTTCAACCACCTCTCTCTGAAGAACAGCAAGGTGTTGTTCCCATTGGTGCATAGGGAGAACAGAACCAAACATTGTCAATAAATCAGCTGTATTTTACAAACAGAAGGCTCACGAAAGTCAAAATGTTTTGCAATATGTCTTCAAGGTGAAAATTTAAATGTCAGAACTTGTTTCATTTTAATCTGACTAGCATACTATGTTAATATTACTCTACTTACATCTCGTAGGTGTATAGGGAGTGAACATTTTAAATTACTGCATCAGTTTGTTTCAGTGCTATCATTTTTGTTTCAGCTAAAACCAAGATTCTTATCAGAGCAGAATGTGATTCTTTTGGATGCACCATTTACAGTGAAATTTCAGCATTTTTATTTTCTGTTTCCAGCTATAAGAATTGAAATTGCTAAAATGTTAAGATTCCTCCCATTTCTAGTAAGTTCTGCTGCCAAGAGGTGAGTGAAGTGTCATATCTTGGCAGCAGTGTTGCTGCAGTGGGATAGGTAGGGCTCTGGATAGCTGCCAGGTGCATCTGGCCCCAGAAAAAAGGCTCCTGATAAACAATAAATGAGACACAGTGAAAAGCACTGATTGGATTCGTATCTTCCCTTTCTCTGTGACATCTAATTCCATAGACTGTGGGGCCTTCTCTTACCCATAAGGAATGTGAGTGTTACCAGAGGAGACCTTAACGATTAGATGGGTATGATCTTGTTCTAAAGTTAAATACTCAGTGCTTCTCCTGATTTCAGTGTCTCACAGGAGCATGATAAGGGGTTTCTTATCTATTTGTTCTAAAGATACCACATATAGACTAAGCTATTTTGGTACCTAGCTTCATTTCTCTCTCTCTCTCATTTTTTTTCATTTTAGAAAGCTGAATTTTTGACTGTTCGTAATGAGGAACTCAAAACTCTGTGCTCTTTAAGCAAAGATCATTAGCCCAGGATTAGGAGAGAAGACATCCCTCAGCAATCTGGCAAAGCAGAAAACAACCCTCCCCAGCTCACACAAGGATAAACCACCTGCTGTGGGAGAAGGTGGCAGAAAGCTCATTGTGCAATTTGTTTGGAAAACAACAGCAAAGCTGTGCAAACCTTTGCAGCTCAGTTTGAGAGAAGGACCAAAGCTTTTCACCTGCCAAAGAAGCTGACCTACCAAAAGAAGGACCAAAATACTTTTAGCACAAAATAAAAGCCAGGGGGAAGTGTAGAACACGAGTCTAATGCTTGTTATCATTGTGACAGCAACTTGCAAAATGGTTTGCAAAGTCCTGCCCCGTGCAGTGTGAACCAGCAGCCTTGACACCAAGAGGATGGAGCACCTCTTGCTGAAGCCATCGGGACATCTGTCCTAAGTTGCCTCTCCTGACATCCTTTGTGAGTCTGGTGAGGGAAGACAGGAAATGGAAGGTATGTAGGGAAAATGGACCAAAGCTGAGTAACCCCCAGGCCCCAGGGAGCAATGACTGAGACCTATTTAAAACCCCGTGGGAACCTGACTGGCCGTGTCCACCTCCCAACTGCGGCCACCGAAGCAGACACGGCAGCAGATAAATATTCCGGGCTCTACGTGTACGTGGGACTGTTCCTGACACTCCTGGCTGTCCTCCTCATCCTGCTCTTCTCCATGCTCCTGCGCCTGAAGCACGTTGTGTCCCCGCTCTCCGTGTCTCCAGAGGGCACTGAGAACGCCCAGCAGTTCACAGATGTGGAAATGCACAGCAGGATTCCAACCACGTAGAGACCACAGAGCAAGGAGGAGGGTTCTGTGCTTGTGAAACGTGTTTTGTTCAGCAAAACGTGGTGGAAAGAATCTGTGGCTGCCTGTTGAGCCCCACAAGTTCTTGCACAACCATCACTGGCAGCACAGAGCAGCTGGGAAGTGCCCTGACTCTCGGGCTGGCTGGCTGTTAATGTTACAGCTAACCTGTGTGCAACACCCTCAATCAAAGTTACATTACAGAGACCTGCTGCTGTCAGGAAACACTCATATCCCTCCAAAAACCTTGCAGCAATCATGAAGACCACAATAATAACAGCCAAAAACCCAGAGAGACATATAGCAGAATGTGTCTTGGAGCCTGTACTTGCTGACACCTCTCTCTGCCCTTAAATATCGAGCTTGTGAAAGGAGTTGAATCAACAAAGTTGAGTTGTGTAAGTGGGAAGAACCCACAGGGCACACACACAAATTATCAGTGGCTTGAATATTCTCAGGCATTTCTCCCATTCAAGAAGGAGAACTTTAAATTGCTTTTTTTCCACTGAAATGGCAATTACACAATGGAGTTTTGGAAGTATACAAATGTTTCATCACCTGCTGGAACTACTGCTTTTTGACACTAAAAGCCAGACAGTGAATAGCTGCATGCTAGATATCAAAAAGAGACAGAACTTTAAAAGAGGAAAGAAAATAAAGCCAAAATTTAAGCAAGGTTTAAAGTAAAAAGAAAGCATCAGCAGGAAATGAGCAGCAGGAGAGAAAAAATGTTAAGACACTCTACCTCTTCCTTTGTTCTTCATCACATTAACTGAGCTGAATACAAACATGTTTCTGCCTTTCAGCTTCCCCAGTAACACTCAGTAATCAAAATGCAATGTAATGTTTTGGAGTCAAATGGACATCACTCTCCTAACAGACTTAAGTTCATAATAACATGTTGTTTCAGATCCATATTGGGTTTTCTTCCTCAAAAGACAGACCAGTTCTTCCAAAGCTCTTTCATTTGTTTTCCTCCCAATAACACTGAGGAAATGCCAGGGCCTGGCACTGCAATCATGGATAATGTGAACAACCCTGGACAAAGACTAAGAAGGAATATGCAAATGGAAAGTAAACTCACTGAGCACTAAAAAATAGGATTGCATTCAAATATCCTGGTGGAATTTCCTGGAGGAAAAAAATGTTTACTTACATTTATGAAGCAACAATCTGACCCAGTCTTACCTATGAATGATGTTGAGAGAGGTAGGCTTTGCTTCTGTATATGGGAAAGATGGAATCAGATATAGGATATTTGATGGTATATGAGATATCCCACTGGTCCTGGGAGCACCACTTCTTCTTACAGAAAAAACTTGAGTGAGATTGTTTCAGCTACATCTCTAAAGGGCAGAAATTTTACACAGCTTATCCTCTTTATTACAATCTAATTCTAGTTCAGCAATAAACCCCCCTGGATGCTTTCCACATGTGTATACACTTATCTGCTAATTCTTGTCTCTCCAAGGGCTTGGAAGGTGTAAACACCTGACACAAAACCAGTGTAAAATTAAGGAAGACACTGACTGTCACATGGACTTGTGACAGTAACACAAATCTCTTTCTCAAATGCTTTGTGTACAACAGGTTCTTTGTTTCCCTTTAGAGGTCTGTACATGGTGAGCTGTTTGGACTGGGAATGTGGCTTTTACAGCTGACTGTGTGTGGGGGGGAGCAGAATGACAAGTAACATCCACACTGGACACACTTGGTCCTTGGGCAGGACTAGTGTTATTTCTCACTGATGTATGTAGTATGAAACTATTTAAAATTTGCTTCCTTATACTGATTAAGTCCCTTTACACTCCATTAATCCCCACATAAATTGGTTTAATCTGTGAATCATAGAATCACTGAATGGTTTGGGTTAGAAGGGACCTTAAAGCTCATCTTGTTCCACCCCCTGCCCATGAGCAGGGACACCTTCCACTAGCCCAGGTTGCTCTGAGCCCCATCCAACCTGGCCTTGGACAGTGAACTAGAACAGTGGCTGTGTAAGGGAATCCAACAAACAAAACACTCACAGCAGGATCTCCCCTGCCATGCCTGACTGTGTTTCCCTGCAGAACTGGCAGGAGACAGGCTGCCCTCCACTCCCTGCCATGGGGACAACACTGGGCAGAATGGTGCCTTCACACACCATCTAAAGATTGGCTCCTCGAGGAGTGCTACTCCAGAACTGCACAAGAGCCAACATTTTTTGTGATGATCTGGATATTAATCCAATGAAGACAGAGAGATACCAAGTTAGTCAGTGACATTTAAATGTAACAAAAACCTATGCAGATCAAGTTGGCTTGGTATGTGTCATTCATTGAGCCATCATAAGGCAGCCTAGCCCAGCCTCAACATCTGACTTGCTCTCTAAAACTTTTCCATTTTCTTGATATGCCATTCAAAAGCTACAACTTACCTAGACCATAAATGTTCTAATATACTAAATCAGCAACTAAACCACATTAGCCTTCCAGCACAACTATCTGTAGAAAAGCCTTGTATCCAAGAGGCTGCAGAACAAACAGCTTTAATTGACAGACTTTTATTGACATAAAATCTCAGATCTACTAATGAAAAATGACATTATCAGAATCTGAGCCAGAACCCAAACTCTGATTGCTCTGATCTCAGCCAAAATGCCCCCCAAGACAGGTGTCAAGACTGAGCTTCTTTCCTTCATACTAAAGAATGTTACTTCAGAAAAGTCTTACATTTTAAAACTTATTCAGTAAATATATTGTAAATAAATGAGCAATCACTTTATATATCATTACATTATACCAGATACCATCTTTGGGCAGACTGTGTATTGCTATATGATACTGTTATGGAATCTTCTAATAAAAAAATGACAAGTTTTCCTTTCTATAGCTTCATTTCACACAAAGTATCTGTCCCACTTGACACTTCTACGCACCAAGTGGCACTTAAGAGTGCCTCATTTGCCTGTACAATGCCAGGAGATTTCAAAACCTTTCCTACTGAGAAACAAAGAATGCCTTTCCCCCTTTTCATTCTCATTTGTAATGTCCCAGATCTGAGGGATGTCTCTGAGAAAAGACTGGATCTTGGACAGCTGCAGGTCCCACATCCAAACTCTTCCCCTCCAGCAGTCTGTTTCCTTCCCACTTGTCCCTCTGCTACAGAAAATGAGTTTACAAAAATAAAGAGGCATACTCTGTCAATGGTGAGTCATTGACTGCTCTGCACTGTTCCCACCTGTGGATCTGAGAGACCAGCTCACATGCAGAAACAGGCTCAAGTGGTACCACTGTTTCAAATGAGTTGGCCACAGGAGGGGTCTGTGCAAGAAGACCCCCTGTCAGTCTGTGTAAGCAGCACTTGAACAGTTTGCCCCCATCTTTACTCTCATCTTAGGACTGGACACAGACAGGACTGTGGAGTTCATTCCTCCCCTCCTCCCCTCCCTGCCTGTGGGGGAGGACAGCCACCTGTTGTTCTGAGGAGCAGCAAAACCACCGGGCATCAGCGGGCCTGGGGGTGGGACTGCAGGGCCAGAGTGAGCCTACAGTCATCAAACACCCCCAAATCTTCCAGGGTATTCAGCCTGGGAGGTGTCAGGTGTATGCTGTAACTCCCCACACCACAGAAATCCCACAGGATTAATGCTAGGGTATTCTCATCCACATGATCTCCATCCACATCCATGAATTTTCTGCATTAACAAGCCTTTAAGTATTAAGCAGAAAGAGTTGATATGTAGAATATGTTTCTCCTCTGTGTCAGAATATATAAACATAAACATTTATCTTCATATCCTCACAGGGCTTCAGAATAAAACACAATTTTGCAAACAACGTGACTAAGTAGAGGATCAAACTTGAGCTTCCCAAAGGACCTTTTTTGATGTTACTTGAAAAAGAAACAAAAAATGTTTGAAACTCAAAAATTGTGTGAAGTCACACATCCATTTAACTGTCAGCATTAATGACAACTTAGTTGTCTGCCCTGTCTTCACTAGGAACAGAAATGAGTCCTCACCCTCAGTCACTACTGTGGTAATTGCTCATGAGGTAAGATCCCTGTCAGTGCAGACAGACAGCTGTAGATTTAAGCAGGTGAGCAGCTCAGGACAGATGCAGACAACTCCTCTGCTGACAGGTAATGCTACAAGTCACATTTGCTACAGACTAGGTGGCAAATTGGGTGAGACTGTGGAATGACTGTGCTTCTTTTCAAAGAAGGTATATCTTTGTGGTGTATCCACACAATTCTGGTATGCACAGGAAGTTTGTTGACAGTCCTGTTTATTCATGTGCCCTGTGAAAACATGTGCAGTTGTACAGTGACATGTGTGACTACAAATTCAGATGTAGCTATATCTGAAAAGGGGTATTTTCTTGGTACATGAGCTGTCAACTCAATTGTTGACATTTTAATAGAAAAATAAACCTAGAGATGGTGAAGTCTGCTTGGACTCAGTGGGGTCAAAAAAAGACTACACAGAATGTCAGGTAAAAAGGATCCAAATACTTGTGGATTGGGGAAGATATTATTTTTAGCTAGTGTTCCTGACACATATTTCACATTTGTTCACAAAAAGGAACTGCATGTTACACACTCCATCTGCCAAAAGACTAGCCCCATAAAGCTCTCTGAAATATTTACCATCATCAAGCTTTTACAGAAGGTTGTGAAGTCCCTGCATGAACAAGAGCAGTCTTTGATTCCCAGTGTTCATTCTGGGGGCACAAATATCAAAGAAAAACACAATGGTAAGTTGGTTCCTTGTACACTTGCTCTCTAGAATGTGGTATATGAAAATTTCCTCCTCAGTCCTTTCATTATCGAGAACAGTTAAAGTATCATCTAAGACAACTGATGTCATGTGTGAAAAATAAACTGAATTTGAATTTTGATGGACTGGATTTTTCAGAGTTTCTTCAGCTGAAGACAAAAAGAATCTGTCCAGTTGTAGATAAAAGCTAAGTTGTAAAAGCAGATCTAAATGCAAGAGGGAAAGTAAGGTCTGTTGCAAGTCATATGTAATTAATAAATCACCCCCTCCTTATACTCCCACCTCCACTTCATGTCTATGTAAACCTGTCAA